GGGACATCACCGGGTGAGGGAGCTGCTATTGACATCTAGTGGGTAGAGTCCAGGGATGCTGCTAAACATTCTACATCAGACAAGACAGCTCCCCGAAAAAGGATTATCCAGACAAAATTCCAATGGTGCTAAAATGAAGCTCTATCTAGAAATATATCAACTGGGTTTGGAATTTCCACTTGGGTTTTACTAGTATATCAGGTTACACAGGGCATTATACGCAGGATTAGCCAAATTACTGTTATCTGTTAAGGCAGCTTATAATAAAAAGAACATTGATTCTACAAATAAAGCTAAAAAGCATTTAAACAAAATAAAAATAAAAAACAACTAATAAAGGTGGCGAGGGAGAAAGAAAATCGTGAAGGGAGGTCAGGTTAGAGGGAGTTCTGTTAGTGGAATTCTAAAGGGAAGAGGGCAGGCCCATGTCTCAGTCAGCTTGTCAGTTCCTGGACTACAGCTCTGACAAATACTGGGCTTACCACATGTTGAATGAAAACAATAAAATGTATTAAAGATGTTAGTCCGTCCTCTTTTTAAGAATTTTGATGCATGAAGATTCTACAGTGTTATGCATGAAGATTATTAGTATTTTTCTTTTGGTCTAATATAATGATGATTAATTACTTTTCTAGTTATGAGTTCTATCTTACTAACTGGATCGTTCTGAAAATAGTTTAAATCCATAGAGAACCAGATATAGCTCAACATCGCAGTCAATAAATATGTTTTGTTTATATTTACCCTATTCTGATTCTTTTTCTATCAAATATAAAAAACAATTGGTCAGGAAATTTTTTTTAAATAAAATGACACCTACACAGTATCTCATATTTAATCAGGCTGAACAATCTCTTTTCTCTCAACATTTTGCTGTCCACCTTAAATAGGGTAATTGTATTTGAGATTTCTTGAATCTTTCCAAATTCATTTTTAAATTCAAAGACTCTAATGAGAAACAGTACTCTTAGACTCACATTCAATGATTATATTTTCCATATATCTTCTGGGCCAGGTTTTGGGCTAGACACTTTAATGTTCTTTATTCTTCTAGTTTGGTTATGTTTTACAGATGAAGAAACTGACTGAGAGAGTTTCAGGAAATATATCCAACTTCATACAGATTGTAAATGGTAGAAATAATATTCAAATTCAGATGTTCTGATTCCATTGCCAAGAGTCACATGGTAACCAATACTAATTAGAATATTTAAATAACTTTCCAGCTTGTGCATATCAGACCACTAGTAATAGTAATATGATATTTGATAGTAATAATGGCAACACATTGATGACTCTCGGCTCAGGACTGGGAAATAGATTTCAAGTCTTGTCCAAAGAATGAAAGGTGCACAGCCATTATATTTAATAGTCCCACATCTGATGCTTTCAAAGCCCTAGCACAGCCCTAACCGGTTTGGCTCAGTGGATAGAGCATTGGCCTGCGGACTGAAAGGTCCCAGGTTTGATTCCGGGCAAGGGCATGTACCTTGGTTGCAGGCACATCCCCAGTGGGGGGTGTGCAGGAGGCAGCTGATAGATGTTTCTCTCTCATCGATGTTTCTAACTCTCTATCCCTCTCCCTTCCTCTCTATGAAAAAATCAATAAAATATATATTTTTTTAAAAAAGCCCTAGCACAAAATTGATGGCATAATTACTATATATTCACTTTTAAGCAAATAATATTATATTAATTATATATGGCTGTATAACAAATTATTCCCAAACTTAGTTAAAACAACATTTATTAATTCTAGTTCTTGGTGCCTCTGGCTTAAAGTTGCAGTTGGTGTGGAAGCCAGGACTGCAGCCCCATTTGAAGGTTTGACTGTGGAGAGATTGGCTTTCACTCATGTGCTTATTGATAAATTCAGATCCGGATGGGTTGTTTGGCTGAGGGCCTCAACTCCTTGTTGGTGAGAGATACTAGTTCTTTGCTATGTGGGCCTCCGCACAGGAAAACTTACATCATATTGGTTGGCTTTATCAAAGCAAGTTCGCTAGAGCAGGCAAACCAGACTGAAGTCACGGTCTTTTGGTAACCTAATCATAGAAGTCACATCTCATCACTTTACTATATTATATTCATTAGAAGTTAGTTGCTAGGTCCAACCTACACTCAAGGGGAGGAATAGCTTCCAGGGTGTGAATCCCATGAGAAGAGGATTATTAGGGGCCATCTTAACAATTGCCCACTACAAATGTTAACCAGTCTTTTTATATATAAAATAACATATTTTTTCTATATTTCTTTAATTAATTTACTCACTTATTCAACAATATTCATAAAAATAGTCCTATCAAAGCTAGTCACTATGGTACATATGGATGGGGTACTGAACCTAGACCTGTGGAGGTAGAGGGCAAAGGAAGTTTTCTCAGTCCTAGTGTCATAAAAAAATGGGACTTAACGGAGAAAAAAAGGGAATGAGAAAAGGTGAGAGAAAGATGTTCCAAGAAGAAGGAGAAGAACAAGGAGAAGAACGTGGAAAAGAACATAGCTTGCTTAGAGGAATACATCCTTAATCAATTATATTATTCATCTATATCCATAATCTTATCAGAATATTACAGTTTGTGATTATTCTTAATGAAGTAGTTTTAAACTGATCAGGATAACTGTTAACTATCAAATTTATAATTATGTCTAATTTATCATAGTAGTTTTCTAATTTGGTTCTGCCAGATATATTGGGCCTAAGAACTCAGCATTGTTCCTGTCCACATGCACCAATCACATTGTCTTCATTCCTAATTTGTCATCTGCTGCCCTAAGGCAATATCCTAAGGCTGAGCCTGCAGACTAATAAGTGCAGGGAAAATTGAACAATTATGAGTTACTTTGGTCAATCTGATTACCCCAACCTAATAATTAACTTGAAATTAAAATATCTCCTCCTGGCACACACAAAAAAATAGTTATGGGAAAGAGATTAGATTATTACTTCCTTTAGGCATTGGATCTACTGCTCAATGGTTAATATTAACACACTTCATGGAATTTACGTCAAGTTCTCTTAAAAGGATGCCTGACATATATTCTCCACTTGTACTTAATAAACTGATGTATTATTTTCCAGGAATGATATTAGTCTATATACAACCTTCAGATAGGGATCTGATTGTTATTAGGCAGTATGTATACATTGAGTTGTTTTTTTAAACATATTTTATCGATTTTTTATAGAGAGGTTTTTTATAGAGAGGAAGGGAGAGGAATAGAGAGTTAGAAACATCGATGAGAGAGAAACATCGATCAGCTGCCTCCTTCACACTCCCTACTGGGTATGTGCCCGCAAGCAAGGTACATGCCCTTGGCCGGAATCGAACCTGGGACCCTTAAGTCCGCAGGCCAATGCTCCATCCACTGAGCCAAACCGGTTAGGGCTATATTGAGTTTTTTATTCTAGTTTTTAAATTGCTTACTATGTGCAATTTTGAACATACCCATGAGTAAACAGAATAGAATATCCATCATCCAGCCCATAACCAATCTTGCCCCATTCCTACCTTTAACCATCTACTCCCATGTTATTTTGAAGTGTATTACAGACATCATATCATTTCATCTAGCAATATTTTAGTATATAACTCTAAATGAGTTATTGTTTTTCAACAAAACCACAATCCCATTTTATTCCTAAATAAAAGAACAATAATTCCTTAGTATTATTAGTCTCTTCTTCTTAACTCTACTTTCTTTTTATAGCGAGATAGGTAGATGGATAGATAATTAGTAGTTCTACTAATATCAACTTCAGGTGATATTCACCCACGGGGACAATTGTGAATATCTGAAGACATTTTTGGTTACTGCTACTGGCATCTAGTGGGTAGAAGCCAGGTATGCTGCAAAACACACAGTGCCCCATAACAAAGAATTATCTATCCCAATATCCCAAAATGTCAACAGTGTTACTGTGGAAAAATGCAGATAGATAGATAGATAGATAGATAGATAGATAGATAGATTTGAATAGAAGTTAAAATGGGCAAAAGTTTATAAAGAAGAGCAATACAAAATATCCATGCTTTTTGTGTGGCTACTAACAATGTCAATAACAATGTCATTGTTAGAACCCACACAAAGGGCAAAATAGATTTATGATTGAAAAGATCACTCAGAATATGTAATTATTCCAATCTAAGTGTCCCATAAATCTGATGAAATTTAAGTATAGAGAAGAGTGGCCTAGTATTAATTAATAGAACACTGTTCCAGATGTGATAAAGAAGTTCATAAAAGTAAATGTTTCTTACATGGGCAGCAGAATCAAGGGAATACTTAGTAAATACGGGTAGAAGACTACAAAACATTATTTTGAATTTGCTAAACAATAACCTGTCAGAAATGGGCTTTCTTTAATGTAAAATTGTGCTATGAATGTTAATGCTCGTGACATATTTTTAAGATAAAAATGGATATTAATTACTTTAATGCAGACAGAGATATGCTCATTATTCTTTGCACAGACCCCTGGCAATAATTTACCTAGCTGCGCCACAGTTCATGCAGATCAAAGCTGCATTATTTAAGTGTGTCCAGGGGGCAGATTCTAGCCCTGTGCCTCACACTTTAAAGAAAAAATATATATTGGTTTGCTTCTAGAGAAACAAAATATAACTAGGTGCTTCAGGCCAGTTCTACAATATTTAAACTCGCTTTAATTCCTCTTATTATCTCGGGCAAACCCGCTCCCTATTCCAAATAATCTAAACTCTTAGGGGAGTACAGAACAACTGTGGAAATGTAAATTTTTTCAAATGAACAGCAGTGTGTTTTCATTGAAATTAAACCCGAATGGGAACTAGATTCAGGAAAGGAAATGGCAGGGAGAGAGGAAAAGAGTCTGTAGTTGCTATAGAATGTGCCTGGCTGCTGCAGCTGACAGACAACTGATGAAGTCCAACTCTGAAATTTCAGGCAATTTGTATACCAAGCTCCTCCTTTTCTGTAGTCTCCTCTTCCATTGGTAAAATTCTTTTGCAGGGTCATGTAGGGATCCCACCCCCTCTCTGTGTTTTCACTCTGAAGCTCTACACAACTTTACACCTGAATGAACGCCAAACCTCAGGGATATATAAAGGGAACCTTGAGGAGGAATTTCACAGTTACAGTGCAGAAGCAGAGGGAAAGGAATTAACTAGCTCTCCAGCCAAGCAAATCCTCTACTCACCATGCTTCCTCCTGCCATTCATTTCTATCTCATTTCCCTTGCTTGCATCCTAATGAAAAGCTGTTTGGCTTTTAAAAATGATGCCACAGAAATTCTTTATTCACATGTGGTTAAACCTGTTCCAGCACACCCCAGCAGCAACAGCACGCTGAATCAAGCCAGAAATGGAGGCAGGCATTTCAGTAACACTGGACTGGATCGGAACAGTAAGTATGTTTTACTTCTATGGATTTTGTCTTTTCTTTTTTGGTAGCATTTAGCTCACAGTCCTGTGAATTTGTTTCACTGCTTTCTAACTGGAACCATATATATTTTGCTAAATAATCTGGGAGTAATCTACTGCATGTGTAGATTGGCATTGTTTCTATAAAGTTAGCATAACTAAAACAGTGATTTGATAATGCAGGCACAGACTTACTAGTAAGTTTTATCAAACATCCAAAGAGAAAATATTTCCAGGAGTTAAACTGTTGCTTCTTTAAATCATGCACAGTAAGAATTTTTAAAAAGTGTTGTTCTAGATAGTTTAAATTGAGGTTGTTTTCTGTTTATTTCAGGACATGTGCAATTCTGGTAAAGTGCATAAAGGTAACTAACCAAATATGTATAAGAAATCACAAGGGAAAAAAGATGCTTTCTGGGGGGAATAATTGCTCACCATGAATTTCTAAAACATGTCTAGGGAAATAGTTGAAAGTTTTGATGATAATCAATGCAAATAAGGGCTAAAACTAAACAGGTTGGAGAATCATATGTTTCTGAGATAATTTCTTATTAACCAGGTCAAAATTCAGGTTATTGTATATTTCTGTGAAACAGGGAGCATTTTTGCCCTTTTCTGCGTGCTTAATTGACACACTGACCACTAGTTAGAGGGATTTAAATTTCTTTTCCTCACTTCTATCCGTCAGAAGAGTTCACATGCTAATAATCAGGTTTTAAGAGAGACCCAGAGAAATAGTGCACAGGAAATTTTACAACATTTTTTTGCTCCTCCTCCTCAACTCCATTCAACTGTGAAAAGTAGTTTTGACCTTTGAAAGGTCAAAGCACATATGACTGCAAAGGGCTAAAAAAACCAAGGTGTTTTAACTTTCATGGAGATGGTTGCTTTTGCGTACACAGGAAATATCTGATAATTATTAGATTACTGAGCAATGTGGTGGGTATTCATGGTTAATGAACTGTCACTGCAAAAATGCTGAATCTCTATGTACACAGGAACAAAAAGCCAGACGAGTCAGAATCATCTCCGGCTGATTCCAGGTGCATTCCTGAGGTAGCTGCCGGAAGGTGAGCTGGAATCAGAGGCAGACAGGACAGCACACTGGCCAGCTATTGCACCCTTTGATTTTAATCCCACACTCTATAGCTATATGTATGTATGTATGCATACGTACGTTTTCTACAACTATCACATCCCTTTAGGTTATATTTCTCGCCTCAGAAATACTGGGACACAGAGGTGAAGTGAAACTCCTAGTTCAAGACTTACTTCAAATTAGCTTTCATTAGTCTATGCAAGGCCACTTCAATGTCCTTGATAATTTTTAATGTTTTAAATGTCAGCAGTTATACTTTTAAACTTTTTTTTCTGGTTAACAAGCCTTGCTTTTTTCCCCCCAGCTTATTACAGGCAATTTTCCTCAAGTTTAGATAACAAAGCAATGGAAAGGAAACCTCAAATATTTGAAGATTAATTTTTGCTTTAATTACATAAAGCATGTAACAAGAAGCAGCCAATTAAAGAACATTCTTATTAAATTCAAATAACTAAACAAAAAGTTTGCCATGACCAATATTCACTAAATGAGCACCGTGGTTCCTTTTGCAGTTGTAAATCAGACATGTTAGGCATTTTTCTGCCATAAAATTCATGGAAATGTAGCCAAGTTGTTATGGCAACCATACGTTCCTGATTTAGAAGGTTTTATATTCTTTAAATTTTGAGTTGTAGTGACATGTTGCATTTCAAGCATTTTAATATTTGCATTTTTAAAAGATGGCTTGGGAATTTATGTTTAAAATGTAGTCATTAAGTGTGATATGCAAAATGTCAGACTGTACACATGTATTTATGATTCTTTGCAGCTAAGTTTTATAACTGAAACAAAATATTACAGAGGTCATCTGCATTGTACACAGTATTTAAATACTTTCCACATTTACTCAATAGATTTCTTAAAAAATAGTTAAATAAAAGCAATTGTAAACATTAACAAATATGATCTGTGAGCAAAATGAACATTAAAATATACTCTTTTTTACACTTAAATGTAAGAGCTGCTTAAACCATACTGGGGAGTGAGACTAAGAAAATGGGATTTTCAAATACTCCCTCGAGTAAGCAATTAGCTAATGTTATATATGAACAAAAATATGGCCTCGTTTACTTTATTCCAAAAAAAATTATAGCTATGTAAACGGATCATTTTCATGAAAGTGTCTCTACCACCATCCAGGCAGATTTTTGCATTGTGGAAATAAAATGGGTATTTTCTTTCTATTGGGCCATTTGCTATCACTTGCATAACATCTTTGTCACTGCAGATTACGTTTAAGAAATGTCCATCTGCTGATACCTCTGTACACTCTCTCCTCTGTTTCCCGCAGCTCGGGTTCAAGTGGGTTGCCGGGAACTGCGTTCCACCAAATACATCTCTGATGGCCAGTGCACCAGCCTCAGCCCTCTGAAGGAGCTGGTGTGCGCTGGGGAGTGCCTGCCCCTGCCACTGCTCCCCAACTGGATCGGAGGAGGCTATGGAACCAAGTACTGGAGCAGGAGGAGCTCCCAGGAGTGGAGGTGTGTCAACGACAAAACGCGCACCCAGAGGATCCAGCTGCAGTGCCAAGATGGCAGCACGCGCACCTACAAAATCACCGTGGTCACCGCCTGCAAGTGTAAGAGGTACACTCGGCAGCACAACGAGTCCAGCCATAACTTCGAGAGCATGTCGCCTGCCGAGCCGGCCCAGCACCACAGAGAGCGGAAGAGAGCCAGCAGGCCCAGCAAGCACAGCATGAGTTAGAACTCAGACTCTAAAACTGGACTGACTGGTAACCATCTGCTTTACAGATTTGATTGCTTGGAAGACTCAAGTCTGCCATTGCTATTTTCTTACTTGAAAAGATATGCTTTCTGCTTTGATCAAACCCAGCAAGCTGTCCTAAGTATCGGGACCTTCTTTGGGAGTAGCTTTTCCTTTACAGGTTTTTCAAGATGTACACACATCCATGAGTGCAATTTGTATTTAAATTCCATGCATCCCGTAGTTTTAATTTCCCATGATTCTTGAAAGACCGGTGATACTATATATATATACTATATATCGAATAATCACTTTTTAAAAGGAAAGGGCTTCTTAGTTACCCTGCACTGCCCAACCCATCCCCCTACCCAGCAAACCCCTCCCAAACTGAAAAGTTAAAAAAATGGTTGCCTTGAGTATTTACAATAATACTTCAGAAGGGTGCTTTTTCTTTTTCTTGGCAATCTTCATGGAACAGTTTAGCAGCCATGAGTGATCTTCCTTTGACAGAGTGAAAGACCTTGTGACATTTCACTTCAAAAATAAGCCCTGAAGCTTTTTACAGTCTCATAGTATGAAATTATACCCTGCATGCTGACCCTCGCTTGGAATGGAATGCCAGAAATGCATGGCAGCAGCTAATAAGTAAAGTTGATTAACTATTTATTTGTCAATGTTATTATTTAATGAGCTTTTACATGTGATTTTTTTCAAAATGTAATTTTTTTATGTTATGAAGCTTTTTCATGTACCTAAATATTTTCCTGTATGATTTGTGGTTGATCTAGAAAGATGAGAATACATGTTGTAGATATGTAAAATAAATATTTTAGCCTTCTTATTACATATATGTTGCATCATGAACTTTATCAATAGTATGGATCTTTTCAAATCAATAAGATGCTTTGTAAAGCTAAAATATGAAATACTTTGTTTAATCTGTGCAATCAGAAGGCAATTTGACCTTCAATTCCATCAGTTTCTTTTAACAAAAATAAATACTGCTAAAAGTTATTGTCTTTGTCTATAACATGTATAAAAATGTACCTGTTTACAAAAATTACAGAATAAATGTGCCAGAGTAATTGATAATGTTAGATAAGGCACATTCAAATTTTGACAGAAAGTTCTATAGTGAGAAAGAAGAAAGGGAAAGGGAGACCATCATTTTAAAAAATATATTTTTACTGATTTTTAGAGAGAGAAGAAGGGAAAGGGAGAGAGAAAGAGAAACATCAATGTGAAAGTGGAACATTGACTGGCTGCCTCCTGCACGCCCTCTATTGGGGGTCAAGCCCTCAACCCAGGTATGCGCCAGGAATCAAACCAGCAACCTGTTGCTGCATGGGATGATGCCCAACCAACTGAGCTACACCACCAGAGCGGGAGACCATCTTTTCAGTAAATGGAATGATTGAAAAAGTTGGGTGGCAATCCAGCAATGAGTTGTAATAAGAATATCATATTCCCCCAGAGATGACAAGTTTGCTGCCCATTATAATCACCTGGGGGAGATATTATGAGACCCAATGCCCAGGTTGCCATCCAAAATGCATCATAATATCTGGGGTAGAACTCAGATATTGGCAGTTTTTTTTAAGTTTTCCAGGTGATTCCACTGTGCAGCTATGTTTGAGAAATAAATTGTGCAGAAATCACTATCATATGTTGTGGAACTTTGAATACTATTGCATGGCCTGCAAACCAAAAAATAAAAATATATATAAACAACAAAGGAAACAAAAACTAATTTTTCAAGTTTGACATGTTGCTACTTAAGCAACATAATCACAGTCTTGAAACATATTTTATAGGTAAATGACATGTGTCAACTCAATCAAATGATCAGGCCCATCATTCCAAATAAAGAAAACCAAAGAGGCTTGGTTATGTATTGGTAAGAACTTCTGGGTTTTCCAATTTTGAATGCTAAGCATGAAGGAGTCCTTAGTACATTTTTGTAGTAGGTTGTTGTTTTGGTAAATAAATGAGTCTAAAAGTCACATGTATTATTTCCTATATCATTCTGTCTCTTGCCTATGAGAGGTGGGAGAGTCTCAACATATGTAAAGACAAGGAAACATCTCTAGATGTTCTAATAATGCTAACTATTTGTATCATCAAATAAAATAATGATTCATAGTCCACTAAGTCCACTACTGATTTATCTTCCAATCTTAATAACTAAGATATTAAACTATTTCATATTATATCATCATATTAATACGTGGGATATTCATGATAATTATATCATAGGTCGAATATACCAAAACTGTATTGTTTCATATGTTTATGTTACTTGTTCATCATTGCTCAATACAGGCATAACACAGAAAAATAAAGACACTTTAACCATTTATTCCTTCTCAATAAGATATCACCTTCTATAGAAGGCCTTAGAGGTGATCTCAAAATTAGTGTGTCCTAAGATATGAGGCATAGAAAGGACTTGTCCTGACAATGATTTTTCACAATCAAGAAGACTATGGCATTGCCTTTTACTGATAAACATTAAAACAAAGGTTTTAGTGATAATGAAATGCTAAAATCACTAATTTTATTACTCAAGGTATGTGTTAGTAAATGAATGTACTAGAAAAATGAGAAGGAATAAAGGAAGCTTATAAATAAGACCTTTTTAGTCTCTGCTAAGTCAAGAATTAGATCTATTGCTCATGGTCATATTCAACGTACTAATCTACTTTAGGCCATGTTGCATTGGTGATGCATTTGTTGCATGGTATTTAACATCAAATGACAGGAAAAGGTCAGCAATGAGTAAGAAAGGCTGAGGATAAAATCAGGCTCTCAGTGAAGTAAACACTAAAAGTCAACAGAAAGAGTAGCTTTGTAGTTATTATTTAAAAGTGCTAAAGTGCGCTTGCCTCTGATTTGTTGATTATATTTCCATGTTTGTTTGTTTTTCAGTTAACTCACATGTTCCAATTGGTTGCACCCTGCATAATTGTATTCTCACCTTAGTAATTATCATTTCAAAATGGTGAATTGTGATAATTTTAGCAGAGTGACCTCTGATTCACATTCATAATATTTATCTATAAAAGATTTGTGAATCAAATTTATTTTGGCCACTATGGATAAAGGACTTTTTCAAGTGGCTGAATAGATAGTAGATGGTTAGTTAGATTGGTAGAGCTACATAGATGGACAGATGAATATTGATATGTATAATTATATTAGAAATATAGTTAGATATATATACCAATAATAAGAATTAAAGAAAAATTAATAGCATATATACAAATATATAACATATATAGTGTGCTATATATAAACTAAACATAGACATGAAGCCTATATAAATATCTATTTTCAAAAAAATATTTTAATTATAAATCACTTATATTTATTCATTTATGCTAGTTATAAATACCCACTAATTGGCAATTGTCATGTTTATTTTACTGTATATTTTTGAAAAGCAATGAAAATTAGGTTTTTTTTAGGTAAGATTCAGTCTCTTTAATTAAGAATGAATCTTAATCCATTCTGGCCCTGTATGAAATTAGTAAGGTATTATCAGGAGATCTAGCTGTTTCATTTACCTTATGCTACTAGAACTATTTCTTTTTATTATGTAACATGATCTATCTATTTAGCATGATATTTACTTTAATAGACACTCAGTAGCCTGGTTATATTAGGTAATTATGAGTAGGAAGAAAAATATTTTGCTGAAGCAAAACCAGGTAACTTCCAAATTGCTGACTAAAATGAAAGCCTTTGAAAGTTTAAATTTAGTATGTTGCAATATCCTTTTTTTGCAATCACCATGAAATCTAAGTATCAAAATCCAGTTCATTATATTTGGGACTAAAACATCATTTGGATTAGATTTAACTCTTGAACATGTTTTTAGCACTAAAGTGGCAATTCACTGCATAATCTAAATTTAGCAATTATGTGCTTCTTGTAGTCATATCATTCTGATAAAAATGAAATGCATGTTAAGTCTTTGATAGAATCCTTACAGAAAGAGTTCAAGGCGAAATGACTTAAGATCTTCAGTGTTGGAGTGCACTCTCTTATTAGAATGTTTCCTTCCCTCCAGGGCAGATAGAGATGACTCCCATTTTGGTTTCATGAGAAACCATTAAATATAGCTCTATGTCAAATTGAAATGAGTCTAGATTTGTGAACTAAGTAGACATTTGCCACTAGAAATTTTTGTTACAGCTACAAAGAGAGACCCACAATAATAGATATACCCCAAATCATTCTCTTTGTATTATTTTCAATGTTATTGATTTTTCCATCATTCCTGACTCCTGAGCTAACATGGCACTTGGTGCTGTAGCCTGCATATTTTGCAAACTGTCTGGAAGAGCTACAGGGTAACAGCTATTGCAGAAATCCCAGTGGGAAGATGTTTCAATTTCCAGGTTCAAGAATTGATTAAAATGAATTAATACAACGCTGACTGCATAATTATTTCCAGTGCAAATTAGACTGAGTGATAGTTTATCATCTGCAGTAGCAGATCAGCTGGAGGATTTATTTTCTGTTACAAATAAAGACTGAAACAGTCTGTGAGATTTATAAGGGAACTTACATATTTTCCTTTGAATATTAGTAACTGCAAACCAAAGGTTACCTTGTATTATTGCTTTCATTTTTTAGCATAGGATTAGGTGCTTGAATCTGAGAGAGAATTACATTGACATAGTCAGTGACACAGCCATACTCAGCCAAAGTTCATTATTATTAAAGCTGAATAAGAGTTTCATGGCCTAAACATAACTTATTATTAAAATATAAGCATCACTTTTTTCAGTAGCAATAAATTCCTTTTTTGAAATTTGTCATTAAATTCACACAAATTTAAAACTCTTTTACATTATAATATTGGCAAATTTTCACAAAATCATCATGAGTCCTTTTATTCATTGAAGTGTTAACCTAAATTAGGTATTCAAAAACAGCCTAGAACACAACCCAGCAGCACAGTCAGAAACAGCACTTTTTAAACAATCCTTTACAATCTTTAATCAGTATTATACTTTATGTTAATCAGTTGAAATTTTTTACTAAATAAAGCTTTCTGTGTATTTGTTTGCTCTCTTACTTTATATACTAGTATGTGGCTGATAAAATATTTTGTGTGTGTGTGTGTGTGTGTGTGTGTGTGTGTTTTACTTCCTTAAGCTTAGAGAGTTTAAGCAACAATAACAAAAACAACTAAAAACTTTCTTGCCTCAAATTTCCTTATTGCCAACCAAAGACAAAAATTGCCACGTGCATTTAATAATTTAATAAAGGGTTGCCATTTTGCCTGTTTGTTGACACTATCTTTCCCAAGAGTTGGTTCACTTTGAATACTAATTGATAAACATATTACATTTAATTTGTGCTTAGTTTGACATTTTAAAAAGTAATAATAGACTTTTCAATTTGACTCATCTGCAAATTTTAAGGTAACAATTTTATACAAATGACTTCAAGACATGTGATCTTGGAAACAAGACTTGAGATATGGTTTAGATTCTGCTGCTACTAATTAGTTGGGTGAACTTACACTTGTGTCTTAAACTTCCTAAGGCTCAATGACTTTACCCATAAAGTAAGGGAGCTGAACTGGATAATGTCTAAAGTGTCTTCCAGATTAATTACTCATGTTCTGTTATCCCAAACAATATGGCCATATTTTTAGTCACACCGACATTCACACAGGCAGATTTGACTAGTGCTACTGTCCACTTCTAATGTTTCTAGGTCACTCAGTTGTGAAATTTCAGAATAAGCTGATCAGACATATGATGGAATAGACAGATTCCATCATACAAATGCCTGGTTAAGGCAGACCATGTAAGATGACATTAGAAATCCAGCTCTAGGAGGGCTGAGACAGTAGCTGTTTGGGAGCATTTCCTGTATTTTATCCAAACTTGAACAAACACCAGGAAGATGTTAGGGACCAAGGAAAATGTATTAGAATTTTTCTCCATAGAAAACACCACTGCTATTCTATTACCTACTCATTTCTGCAGAAAATA